GCGCCCGCCCCGCCCCCGCCACGCCCATTGGCGGGGGGCGCGGAGCGGCGCGGAGCCAAGGCAGGGGGCGGCTGCACACGTGCATCTTTCCTTAGTATTTTTGGTTCTGCCTTTCTCTCCCACGCACTGCCTTGCTCAGTCCTCCCTCAGGCTATGCTTCACTCTCCAGCGCTAGCGCAGTGGGGCAGGGCTGTGAACAGACGTGATACGAACAGACGTGATACTGAACATGACTGCCATTTGTAAGATCGCAGGTAGCGCTAGTGAAGACAGGCGGATCTATAGGAGAAAAAGGTAAACATCACCGTGTTAACGTATATTAAAACATAAGCTACAGTCCTGGAATACAGCAAATCAGCTACAGTTTAAAAATGCCTTAGATATACAAGTAAGCAAGTTCTATTTTACTGAGTGGTCAAGCATGCTTTACTCTCTTTCTCATGGCTGCAGACATTTTTCATAACTCACTCAGTTTGTTAGGACTCACTTTGTGACACAATCCTCAAACATTATTCTTGTATTAAAAATGATACAAGGATATTCTTTCTAGTTTCAAAAAGGAATTTTCTTGATGCTCCTTAATTCCTAGTCACCAATTTTTGTCATCTTCTTAATTTTTAAAAATCCCCAAGTTTATGCTAGTTCTGCTCAAATGCTTGTTATTTGATTCAGTTTATTTTGCTAAGGTCACTCTACTCACATTGACCTTCTAAAAAAATTAATGATTGGCTTGTAGCTAAATCCAAAGGTCTTGCTTCTTTTTCTGCCCTTCTCGACTTATCAGCTAGTTTTGGACCTTTGGATCATTCTTTATCAACTCAGTTTACATAGTTTTTCTAACTCTGCACAATATTTCTTTTCCTACTTCGTATATATATTTGATGCTTTGTAGGGTCCCTAAAATTGTCCTTGCCATCATTACAATTATCTTTCTGCTGAATGCTCTATTTTTAACATTATTTTTCCACTGAATTGTATTTTTTCCTGCTCGTATTTTTTTCAATGAGAACATTCTTTCCCATATCTCAAAGGTCTGTTTCTTCTTTTCGTATGGATAGTTCCTTCTGGACCTAAGTCAGTCTTCATTTCAGTACAATCAAAGCAGAAACTCTGTCCTTTTCCTAACTGGCACATTTACGGTCTGACACTGAAACCTTTACTCATGGTAAACAGCATTTTCCTTCTGTCCTTCACTGAGTACCAGTCATTTGACCCCAGACTGCCTTTACGTGGGCCTTGATACTTGCAATGCTATCAATACACTAACCAGCTAAAATGCACTCCAGTAGTATCCCTCTGCTTCTTTCATCACTTGACCATCTTCTGGATCACTTGGAAAAAATCTCGGCTCCTTAAAGCAGTCACTTATATTTCTTTGCTTACAACTTTTTATTCCTTAACACCAAATACAGACTTCATAGAGCTCACATTTATGGTGTATGGAATTGTCACTCCTCACAGTTTCTTCTTTGGCATCAAAATGAGAGTCCTCTAGTTTTTTGTATACTAGGTAGCTTTTTACATCTTTTTCTTCCTCTTCTACAAGAAGGGATTAATCTACCAATATATGTTTTAACAGTGACAGAAATCATGGAGCACAACACTGGTAATGATTATTCAAATGTTTAAAAAAGCCAAATTAATTCATTCAAATACAAGAAAGTTACTTAAACATCTGGTTAACTATACAGGTCCTGAGCTCTTTGTATCAAAAAATCTTATTATAAAGATCACAGCATTAATGCTATTATACACAATTTCTAGAATTACTGTAACACCTCAAAAGCTCTGCTCTAGAGCCAAAAATTTGCTAATCATTTAAAAAAACATGTACCGATCTAGTAAAGATGCTTTCTTCCACTACAAACCTCACCTCAGAATGGAATTTTAACTTGAAACAGGAACAGATGCTTCACACTGCTATTTCTGAGATCTGGCCTATAAAGATTAACTAGCAAGTTGTTTGTTGGTGGTGGTTTTAATGGGGCTCTATGCATATTTTGTAATATTCTATCCATCATTTTTGAATGACGTAAGGTGCCTCGCAGACTTTAAAAAAAATTCTCATTTTTATAACTACGTAATCCATTTAAAGCAATGTGGTTCCATTTAACAACAACATTCTGTCTCAACAGCCAGAGAATCTGATATTAAGCAGTAAAATTCTAGTTTAAAACCACAGAATTAGAAAAAGCATCATGCAGCAGAGAAAAGCTACCCTTGGCAACAAGACGAGAGTTAGTGAAGATCAAAGTATAAATTCAGCTACGTTTTAAGCCAGTATCTGGTCTCTGTCTCACTTACCTTTTCTCTAACACAAACCTATTACAGAAACAGAGGTCTCAAAGGATTGTACTACTGTTGAACTGTGAATTTCTATCTGTCCAGGACTTGAGGGCTTGGCTTTCAGAGCAGACGTTTAGATTTGTAATGTGGTATAGCAACATGCCTGAAGCATTTGAGGGACATGATGCTAAAGTTTAAAGAAGAGCCTACCCTTTCTTACCAGTACTTCTGCTATATTATTGATTAAAGCAATTTAGTATAAGACATCTGGTGTGAGCTCGTATTAACATTTATGTATGTTCAAGAGTTTTTACATAACCTTACTGTTACTTCACTTACAGAACCTTACTCTGTGCAACAATACAATTGTGAGAGACTTCAGTTCCTTCTAGTGCCTTGTCAAGGATACTGCTTGCTAAATTCCAACAGTCTACACCCATAGAGGACTTGGAAGAGGACTTGGCACAGCAAATCTTAGCTGTTATCTATCAGAAACAACATAGAATAATCCAGTATGCCTCTTAGAAAACAAGTTTCAAAATTCCTGAAGTTCAGAAGCTTGGACTGTTCCAGTTGGGAGGGGTAAATGCACCTCAAAATATTAAAATTACTCTTGTTGTTGTTGTTTAAGCTCACAATTTGGTTGTCAACTTTGAACTCTAAAAACAGTCAAAATATTTTCTTATGCATAACTTAAGCAATTTATTTAATTTAACATATCTTACTTCAACTTTGGACCTATAATAAGAGCTGAAAAATCAATGTACTATTTTCAGAGTCCTCTGAAATGAAATTAATGAAATAAGATAAAAATCTTGCTTCATCATTCTTTACACTTAAAATAAAACTATTATTAGATTTAATCCCTTATCCAACCAAACAAGCTACAGATGTAAAATGGCAGGAAATTCTCTCTTATCCCAGCTTCACCAAACCAAATTTAATCTTTAAATTTACCAACGAACTCTACATGGCTTCTTCCTATTTTGTCTTTCATAGTTATTGGAGGACAAATCCTGTCGTTCTCCCAAAATTCCAACTCTGGGTACTTTTTGGAAAATATTCTGTTATTCCTTGTCAGGGACATCTTTACTGTTTGACATGCTGAAGTGCCATATTCTCCATCAGACTGAATGCAATCTGCTACAACGGAGTTTTCACTACGGAATGAAATACTTACTCCAATGAGTGCAAGAACTAAGTAAAACTTATTTCCTCTCTTTTTGTGCAATTCTTATGGTAAATGATAAATGGATGGTATTTACCACAATCAGAGATCAGAATTTATAAGGAATCTTCATTCTGCGGATACACTGGTATCTGCAACCTTTTTGCTAGCTGGGGCACTTAAAGGGTCTTTTATTCCTATGCAGCTAGATATTACCACAAAACCTGTAGGAACCTAATGCCATTGAGATCTATGATCCTTTCTCAAATTTGCCTGAAAGTAACCAACAGGTTCAAGTTACAGGAAGGGGAAGGAGAAAACACAGACATATATGCACACACACACCACCCAGTTATATAATCTTATGTTCTTAAGAAGTAAGAATAAAATCTTGTCTATATGAAAAAAAAAATCCTCTTAGAAGGCAGATGGATCATGTAGATCTTTTCTATATGAACTGTAGGTAGCAATAGATCAAAAATGTTTAAGAGTATTAGCACACTGGTATGATTCAAATTTTAGTGTATTGTTATTTATGTAAACATTGCTTTTCATGTCTTTCTGTTAAAATGTCTTTAAAATTTCATTGCAAAATGCAATCAAATCACATATACAATAAAAATGTATTTTAAACACGTAAATCAAAGAAACATATCAACATTAATATGTATTGCACTAAATTTCAAGCATGTCTGATAATTTAGGAAATAATTTACTCCTTTTTTTTTTGGGAACCAGGTAGCTGGAATACTAGAAGGATGTAGAGAAACAAAGTTACGTATCCCCATTCAAAACAAGGCTCCCTAACTCAGCAAAGAACACAGTACAAGTAGTAAAAGTGCATGCATGTGAGGTGCAGGACACTACCAGCAAGGACACAGAAGTTATAATTGAAATGCAAAAACAATGGCAGAGTTCTGGTCAGAGAAGAGTTAGAAAAAAACCTTTTGGCTTAGAAGTAGTAAAAAAAAAAAGTTCAGAACTTTGAGCAAATGAAATAGTCCTTATTGACTGAATCCATCTCATTTCAGGAAGACAGGGCTTTTCACTGTCTCTCTGGCTGCTCATGAATCACATTACATCACAGAAATTACTGATTTAATAATTTATTTATTTTCCTAACACTGCTTGCAGAAATCCATGTTCCAATTAGCTACACTGTATGTGCACGTAAACATGAATACCAATATATGCATAAATATGTTTTAATTTTAGATGCTATGTTTCTTTTATAGAAAGGTGACAGCCGAGAAAAGTTCTACGGAGGCAAAGGATTTAGTGATCATAATCCATGACATTTTACACCCTGTCATTTTCAGAGGCATTGCAGTGCTGACTACTGAAAAATG